CCACCCTACGAACTCAAGATTGCATACTCCAGCATCCATACTTTGAATAATTTGCACGCCGCACAGTGCAGTACTGGAAACAGCATTTATTAGACAGTTAGACAAAAAACAAAACAAAATGCCTGTCTCGATCAATCGCACATCCATAATGTTTGTATGTTGATACGCTTGTAAATAACATTAACGTAAAAGTCGAAACAACCTAGACTAGAAGTCAATTCACCAGTCCAGCCAACTATAACTCCCTAAGTTACTTATATTTAATCAGATACTATTCCATCATCATGCTTTGTTACCTTACCTGTTTACACCTCATGAGAGCGTTTTTTTATGGCAAGATGGCGCAAACGGAAGTCCTTCGCAGGTTTATGGTTTCTCATATTTAAATCATCATAACTCTGGAGATAATCATTTTTTTTATTTTTTTTTCAAATTTATAATCAATATACATAACTTGATAAATACAAACACCAAAATAGGCTCTATTTAGTTCCCCTTTAAGGCCCCCTCACCCCTAACCTGAACCCTAAACCTTACACCCCAGTCTCCCAATGTAATTAAATATGCCCCTCCACATAACTGTAAGTGTTCCAAAGAGGGGTATATACAATTGAAATGGGGGAGAAGTGCTGGAGAAGATAGGGTTAGGATTAGAGTTATGGATGTGGGGACCCTAGGGAACACTTATTGAAATCTGAACCATGGGAATTAAAATACTCTCCATTCTACATTGCTCAATTTAAATGTTAGGAATTACCCATAAATTATACAGATGATTTATTTATTTATTTATTTATTTATTTATTTATTTATTTATTTATTTATTTATTTATTTATTTAATATTGGACTGTGATTATATTCACTGTGCATCTATGTTATTTGTCTTGTAGAGGTCTGTTGATGTCCTCGTTGTAGATCACTGCCAGAGCTCTGGTGGTGTCCTCGTTGTAAGGTCACTGTGAAGTTAACATGTCACAATCTTACAATGTTTTGCTTTGATTCTTAGATTAAAATTCTGGACCGTTGGAAAGAAAAGCAGGTAAGAATTTGTAGAATTTGCAGGTAAAAATAAATACCCATTGTATTAGCGCAAAATCATGTAATGTATAGTGATCTGGTGACAGATGTATAATAATTCCTCTATTTGAGTTGTTGAAAAGATTATATTATAAAATTGTGTTAGTTACAGAAATGTTCAATTTCACTCTTATGCAAAAGTGTGTGACTTTACATCACATCTATTCATGTTACTGGGACTTTTATCACATCTATTGGATATTCATGTTACAGGAACTTTTTATCACATCTATTTGATATTCATGTTACTGGGACTTTTTATCACATCTATTGGATATTCATGTTACTGGGACTTTTTATCACATCTATTGGATATTCATGTTACTGGGACTTTTTATCACATCTATTGGATATTCATGTTACAGGAACTTTTCATCACATCTATTTGATATTCATGTTACTGGGACTTTTTATCACATATATTGGATATTCATGTTACAGGAACTTTTCATCACATCTATTTGATATTCATGTTATAGGGACTTGTCATCACATCTATTTAATACTCATGTTACTGGGACTTTTTAT